TATTACAATATCCTTTTAATAAATATTGCTATGCGATGCTACATAGATACCGACAACATAACTGTAAGTACCCATATTGTCGTGATAAGACTAACATTATTATTGCTGCATTAAGACTGTAATAACTATTTTACTAACATAAATAGATGTTCAAAGGTAAACTTGGGTTTCCTCAGGATGCACTGAGTTCCCTGCCATTGGGGCACCTACCCTTAACTTGGATGACACTTGGATGATGTGTTTACAGAAGGAGTGGGTGGGGCTGGGACAGGGCATGAGGGTGAGCACTGACCAGGCTTGGGATGATACAGCCCCAAATCCCTTCTAGCGAGAGAGGTTTTATGTAAAATATAATCATTAGGGAGAATTAATCTTAGCGGGGAAAGCTTCTGTTCTGAGAGAAGGAAGGGAATTCCTGACGACCTCACACAGCCTCACACGTATTTCCCTCTTCTGTCCCAATTCTAGTCTGGCCTTTGCCAAATGCCAGTGTAAATTCTGCCAAGATCAAGATGGCAGTGATGTGAGCTCTCCTGGGACCTTAGACATCTAGGATTAAAAATCGGACAGTCCCATCAAAGGCAAGAAGGGTTGAGAGGTTATCAAGGCAAGACAAGCTAACAAAAGCTTTGGTTCGGATGATCTGCATCAGATTTTGCTGGAGGTCAGAGGGGATTTTCCTGGGCGCTAAGTAAATCTCAAACAGCAGAAGCCAAAGAGGGACACATGGCAGCAGCAGGTGCTTCTCAGGGAGATTTTATACAACCCGGGGAAGCACAGAGGATTCTATGTGTTCAGGTCCTGATTTTAGCCATGTAGGCTTCCTGAAAACAAAACTAAAGATAGAAAACGCAAGAAATACGGCACTCCAAATTTGGGCCCCGGACCTGGAGGCTCTAAAGCAGTCCCCGGAGGATAGAGAAGGGTGCTGGTTTTCTGAGAGTGCACCAGCAGCCACAGAGCACCGATCACCGCTTTAGGGCAGCCTGCATTCCCGTTTAGGCCCCTGCACTCACATGTCACTGAGGACAAATGAGTGAAAGGGTTTCTTCCTCGGTGAAATCAGAACAGTCACTGCCGCCCTTTGTCCCAGGCTCCTCCTGAGGATGCGAATGCTTTGCAGTCTGAAGGGCTGGTCCAACAGTGGAAACTCCTGTTTGCAGCTGACTCCCCCTGGCCCTGCAGCCCAGGCCTGTTGCTCTCCCCACGGTGCCTTCATCCCATTGACATTTACAGAACACATTGTATAGAGAGCAGAGTCAGACATGCATATGCAATTACTATTATTATTTTTTGTAAATCAATCAAAATTACTCCTATTTTTGTAAGATCAGCAAAAAATATATTTTGTGGTGTGCCACAGAATTTTAGCGGTTAGTATGCACGTGCCACGAGATGGAAAAAGTTAAAAATCGCCGAGATGATGAATTAAAACAACTCACATGCTTGACACAAAATAACTGCTCAAAAACGAACACACAGAGACACCCTTATGAAAAAGACACA